ATGCAGAGGATATTCACTCTCAATACGCACTTCAGGCTGCCAGATTGCTCAATGTATTTATACAATAGTAACGTTAAAATGGTACGTGCTAGATAGCACAGCTGGAACCCTGAGGGCCAGCATTAAAGAATCGAACAATTTACACTAATCGGCAAGCTCTTCTCTGTAGCTTCAGGCAGGCCTAATATTATGTCAGTACACAGAGACGCACAGCTGCACATGATGGAAAACTCACAATCTGAAGCCCCCAGTCCTTTGCTGGAACATGCCCGTTGGGTCAACCTCCGCTCGAACCTTTTGAGCGAGCTCTCGCTTCTCTGGCTTCAATCTCCCCCAGTAGTCCTGTCGGAAGTAGCCGTCGTTCATGAACAGTGGCCTGTAGATGTCCGGAAGGGTGCCGTCCGCAATGAAGCCATCCACCCGAGTCTTCATGCCGGAGTACAGGTCAACCATAGTCTTGTCAATCGTAGCGTCATCAAGCTGTGAAACGTAGGAGTAATCAAACTCAAAGATGATTCTGTCGACATCGTCATCGAGGTCCAAGAGATCGCCACCGTTCTCGCGTGCGATGCGGGGCAGGGACTTTGGAATAGGCTGGAAGGCAATGGATGCAATCATGCCGAAGACGCCGGCCTTCGCAGATGATGTGTTGTACCAGTGGTCGTAGTACGAACGCATGACCTTCGCTCCGTCGGCAGCGGAAGGAAGGGGGGTCGTCTCGGTCGCGATGGTGTAGACGCTACCCTTCAGGACGAACTGGTTGTTGGATGTGAGAAGGTCCGTGTAGGATCGGGTCTTGCAGCTGTTGATGGTCGGGCCGATGTCGAGGAACTCCTTGAAGACGTTGGCAGGGGGTTCGGGGCCGTCGTAGAAGAGGAACAGGATCCAGATGTCGACGAGGTTCAGCACCGTAAGCTCCGAGGTTGCGATGATGGCGGCCTTCGGGTCGTCGTAGTTCTCAGTGAAGTTGCGAATGGCTGCGAGAATCTTGTCGGTCTTGTCGGCACCGAAGACCAAGTTACCGCCCCAGATCTAGTGTTGTGTCAGACCGTGTCAATTCCAAAGTCCCAGCTGATGAGTGTGTCCCTACCTGACCGATGGGATGAGCTTGCAACACGTATCGGGTTACGATACCGAACGCATTGCCGCCACCCTTGATAGCAGCAAGAAGGTCGGGGTTCGTCGTGTTCGATGCGGTGACAATCGTTCCGTTGGCCAGAACCATCTCGACCGACACAATGTTGTTTGATGCCCAACCATACTGAGTGCTCAGGAAGCTGAGTCCGCCTAAACCAAATCAAAATCAGCATCAATCCTCGTTCAATGTCCTCAGACTTTCCGTCGTACCTCCAAGCAAGTATCCACCGACGCCAACGTTTCCGATGCGGCCGCCGACGACTGTAACTCCGGTCCCGTCGAGAGCGGCGTGGACATCCTCCCATTTGTTTCCAGGCCCCACACTAACGGTGTTGCTCGCCTTGTCGTAGATGACCTGCTTAAGTCCCTTGGTGGAGATGAGCGGGCCATCCTTCACACTGGCATAGTAGTTATTGGGGTTGTGTCCTCCTGACTTGACGGCAAAAGTCTCGTTGTTGGTTCCCAAAACCTTGACGATGGCGGAGACCTCTTCGGCACTGGTGGGGATCAAGATGCATCCAGGTTTAAGGTTACCGCAAGCCGTGGACCTATTTCCACCTCCCGTCAGAACAAACAGAAATCAGAAACCAGAAACAGTGTTGACCTACCAGTAGTTCAGCTGTTCTGAGGTGTATCCAATGTCGAGTCCCTGGAACTTCTGGATGCTAGTGCCGGTTGAGACTTGGCTGCATGTTGCGGATTCAGCCCTGACGGCCGCCAGGAGGCCCAAGAAAATCCCCAGGGTACGGGAAAGGGTGATTCCAACCATGACGGGCAAGTTGTCAACGAAAGCGAAACCCTCCAGGAAACCCGCTCAGAAAGCAAAAACCCGCTTCCCAAAGAATTGTCATCCCATGGGTGGTCTTATATTTCAAACATTTGAGATCCCATCAGATCAACGTGGGTGACATGAGCATCAGCGCGAAATATTGGACACGTCGGGGCCTGCATTGCAACCTTGCTCCACAAGCGAGGGCTGAATTAGGAAACAGGTTCGCTACCGGCCGATAAGCCCATGCATCATGGGCCTTGGGCGGAGCAACTTCACAGCCAACTTTTTTTCTTTTCTTCCTTACTTCGTCCTTTCTCGGATGGAAGCTTTCGTTTAATTTCGTAAGCTCGGCTGTGGCTTTCTGACGGCTCGTAACGCTCGGATATTGAAACAGTGGCAAGGTTGACGGTCTGTCTGCTGGCGCCATCCTTGTGCTATGACATCCCATTTGCCCTTTGACGTCTCTGTCAGCTGAAGTTCAGCTCCAAGCAAAAGAGGGCGCGGCCACATGGCGAACAGGGCCAATGACAGCACCGCCCCGGATTCTGCGTTGAGACATTGAGTGCATAGCCATGCTGCTGAGTGGCCCGGTTCAGATTAAGGCCAAGGACGGAGGGTTTGCAGGCCGTCCGCCTCCCATTAAAGGAGGCCATCGACAGGGGCGAGTCATGATAGCTAGCCGAAGTGCGGGTCTACTTTTTGGGCCCCCACGCCGACACATGCATCGTGTCTTGGGCTCCGAGGTATGAAGCCATGGCATCATCGTGAAGATGGCAGCATTGCAGCTTGGCTTGGGCCGCAATGTATGCGCGCTTTTCTGTCCATGTTTGCTGTTCGTCCTCGAATCCAGGGGCAATGTTGTGTTTCCCGGAAAGATTTCCAGCGCATATTGGTCAGTTAAAGGCCTCAAACGTGGCTCAACCATACCTGTCCATGTCCGGGTCCGCAAGAAAGTCACGAGACGGCACCAGTTCCCTGTTCTCCCGTAACATTCCCCCGACTCGAGTGCCATTGCCCCGTCCGTGATATCGGAGATACCACCGCGTGTTCCACGGAGGTGAGAAACCCATGGCACAAGAAAACTTGACCGTCTTTGGTTGTGGACATGCTACACACGATCTGCCGTGAGCAAACAAACATGAAAACACAAACAGAAAGAAAAGCCCGAGAATGTCTCGGGTTCATCTCGCGATCGGACTCGTCGGGCGAAATAGGCTGCAGACGATCATCTCTTTCCGCCCTGAACTTGTGGATCTGCGAAGTTTCCACGTTGGCCGACCGTCGATCCCACTAACGGTCGCGGGGCCGCTGCGGGACCGTCGGCGTTCTCGCCTGCCGCTGACTGGTTTCCCGGGGTCGGTGACTCGGCTGGCAGAGTTTAGCCTCAAAAGCTCCAAATCAAGTTGCGGAGGGAGATGAATCGGCCCCATTCAGACGCCCATGGCTATCAAAAGAGACGCAACCGAGCTACGACCAGTATCCGTGTATGTGATAAAATTAAGCCGCGCACATCTGTTCTGGCGGCGAGAGTTTCCCCTTTTTGGAAGTGGATGATTTAAGTATCCGTAAAGACGTGGTGGAGACGTACAATGATCTGGCGCGAACAAGCCGGTTGTGACAGTCCCGGAGCGTCGCCGTTTTCGAGTTCGGTGGGAATGCGGCCCATCCCGTTGACAAAGACGGATTAACAGTAATTAAGCATAAAGGAATACCCGCATATTTATATGCATAGATATGTACGAGTACTTATTCTTTCCGGGCTTGACTGAATCCACGCTGCCTGGCCTATTCTTTCAGTGGCGTCCATGGTAGTGCAATCGCACCGTCACATCCACCGCCCTACACCGATGTCGACATGCAAGATCCTACGTCTTCCCCAGGTTGAGGCTGAAAAAGACAAAGTGGGCCGGGTCGCACAGAACAATCACATCGAAACTCGACCAACAGATTAGAAGTCATGGTAACACAGAGTCAGGCTGCCGAGGCAGACCCTTTCTCCGAGACGGTACTCGTGTACACCGTGATCGGGGTAGAAGGTGCCGACAGAAGATAGCGGTTGATGCAAGTTCTGAACCATCATGAACAATTCGACCCATACAAATTGGAAAGATAACCCGTTGATGAATATCACATTCATCGGGATGCGAAAGCTCCACCCATTCTATCATAAGTGTGATCCCCTCTTCAGACAACCCAACTGGCGGTGTGATCTTCTTCTGTTGGTTCTATCGGGAGACGGGCGGTCCTCCGATGGCCAGTGGAGCCTGTCAAGCCCAAATCCAGCCGTTTGCAGCATTTCGGCTGGAACGCGCCGCAATGAAACTCACCTTTAGTGCAGGTCGATGTACCTCGCCGCAATCGTCACCCCATTTTTAGCAGTCTTCATCCTATCATGCTCGGGCAAAACCCAGACACCGCAAATACCGGCCAATAAGCATTCATCGTCGGTTCGGGCTCTTGGCTGTTGGTGCAAGTTGAGCGGGAACCCCATAAACAAGTACTTATAGCTTTGCGGTAGGCATATTTAAGCTCTGTACAACGTCAGAAATACAATCTGTTGCGGGCAGGTGATGTTGAAAGGAAGAGAGAGAGACGCAAGATGGGACAGTTGTGCGTGGGATCTGGAACCCTGCTCTGGTCCTACAGCGTGTAGGCAATTAAGAGCCGTCGTCGCCGCCACATTACTTGGGTTTCCGCTAGTCCTCTCCCCCACCATTCGTTTACTTCTCGCGCGTTCGTCCTCACGTCTAATCGTGGTGTTGATTCGCCTCATCCCGCTTACGCTCAGTAAGCTATGCGTCACTGTTGAACAATGTAAATTGAGCTTTTAGACCACGCACATCGTTTACGAATTTGGCGCCTCTGATCAATCCATCAATCACACCGTGCGATGATGCAGGGCTCAGACATGCAAGACGTAGATGGGCCAGACCCTGACTTTGTAAGCCTCTAGGTGCGCAGCGCAACGATATCGAAATGTGCAATTGACGTGAACACGCGTAGGATACTGAAGTGGACGAAGCGCTGGGTGTAGAAGACGTCAGTATTCTTCTCTTGGGCTGAATCTGTGTTATGAATGCATCCACCGAAAATGGGGAAATTGTCGTTAACATCTCTGCTCGGGCTCCAGGACTTTGAGAGAGCGTCGCTGTATTCTGTTAAGTCGGAAATCAAGAAGTTCCAGTTTGAGAACGGCAGGACTTACCATTCCATGAGTGAAGGGAGTGCGTCTTCACTTGCTTCACTACAAGTTTGCTACGCTAATGCTTGATAGAGTACAACTACCCAAACGATGATGTAAGTGATCCCATCTCGGGAACCTAATCGTGACCAATATTCTGATTGAGGTGATCAGGAAGAGAATAGCCGTCTAGGTATGGCTTCCGAGCCCCATGGTTCAAAGTCGATGTTCTGATGAAAACAGAGTTGCAGCATCGCATCTGGAATCTCACACTCGACGGTGAATTAGCACTATGTCCAGCACATAAGACGGCCAAGAACGTCTTGGATATGGGTGCTGGAACGGGTATTTGGGCCATCGACTACGGTAAGTTCCTCGCTAATCTCCATTACTAGTTTAAAGGGTCTGCGATGTCTTTCGTCGAGAGTGTTAACATACTGACAAGCTCGTTACAGCGGACGCCTTCCCATCTGCACAGGTTCTAATCGTCTGCGGTACGTAAACAGTGCCTTTAGCTAACCTACAAGTAGGTCATTGGCGTTGACCTAAGTCCGATCCAGCCAGAATGGTAAGCGTACTCTTGCATACGTCCACGAAGTTTGAAGCAATGGTCTCATTGAAGCTGTCCAGGGTACCCAACAATTGCAGCTTTGAGATTGACGATCTGGAGAAGAGATGGGCCTGGTCAAAACCTTTCGATTTCATCTTTTGCCGGACTATGGAAGGTTCATTCTCTCATCCAGTCAGCATCATTCATAAGATTTATGAGTGAGTTTGCGGGTTCCTGCAGACCCTTCAACGCATTTGCTCACCAACGCTACTAGGGCTTTGGAACCCGGCGGCTGGTTCGAGGCAGGAGGTTTCGTGCTTCCAATCGGCTGCATCGACCACACCCTCCTCGAGTCCCCGGCTCTCATGCGCTGGCACGAAACCATGTACGAGGCCGGCAATGTCATCGGCCGTTCCATCGAGAGCCCATCGAAGCATTTAGACGCCATCCACGCCGCCGGCTTCGTTGACGTCACTGTAAAGAGGTTCGCCTGGCCGCTCAACTCATGGCCCAAAGAGAAAACGCTCAAGGAGATTGGTATGCTGCATTACGTCAACCTCGACTTGGCACTAGAAGGGCTGTCCCTGGGCTTGTTTACACGCGCCCTTGGCTGGACACGACAAGAGGTTTTGGATCTCTGTGCGGAAGCGCGTATGGACTTGAAGAATAGGAAGATTCACGCATACTGGAATGTGTAAGTTTATCTCTCTTCGTATCTCCCTTCTTTTCAGACAGTGTCTTACGAGCTCCGGTCCCCCGATACCGGATAAAACGCATCCTAAAGACATTTTCCGACTGACTTTTGTAGGCAAGTTGTTTATGCCAGGAAGCCAAGGAGGGCGTAGACATACAAACCATAAAGAGGTTGGACTTATTATTCAAGATCAACTCACTGGTATCTTTTGAGAATGGCCTTTCATTGACTCACGACGCCTTCGCGGCTCCATAGCGGTAGATGCCTGGTCTTATCGAAGGCCGCACAAACACCATTCATGGATTTAGTTGGACTAGTAACTTGAAGAGTCTAAGTGCATATATGTACAACATCATTTATGAATGCACACAATAGAACATTGTTAGCTTGCCTCATACTGAAATGTTGAAACGCCATCATTCAATGTCCCATAGTTCTCGCGCATTTCCTCGGAAAAGCTTTTCCCGTAGCCCCTCGTCCCCGTCACACCACTCCATCACCTTTTCCATGAACGGCTTCGCATCCCATCCTCGCGATTTTGTATGAGGCCAGTCCGAACCGAAAACAACTCCCGTTCCGTTGCGCATGCGGAAAAGCGACTTTGCAAGCGACTCCAAGTCAGAGAAATCCGCATCTGTAGAGAACAGATACGGTGCTGAGATTTTGACGTATACACTAGGGTCTTCCATCATGCGACACAGCGAAACCCAGCCTGGCTGCTTCGACGGGTCCAATGGCAGAAATGCCGGAGAACCGAAGTGCTCAAGGACGACTTTTACCTGAAGTTCGGACAATAAGAGCTGGACATGATCAAGGACCTCCATGTCGGCGTATAATCCGATGGACCAGGTCTTCAACGGTCGGAGCTTTTCAGCGTACTTGCGTAAAATGTTCTGAATCTCAGTTCTTGAGAGAACACTCTTCGAAGATCTGAGGTTGACTCGAACACCTCGAACACCAAGGTCATGCCACTCTTTGAGAGTCTGAAAGTCGATATGATCTGGGTCGAAAGCGACAACACCACGGCCTCTCGCCGGGCCCGTACCTTTGAGGGACTCTAGCACCCACGTATCGTCGTTGCCATACCCTGATAACTGGACAAAGACCATGTTCGGCAAACCGAGTTTCTCAGCGTTGTCGAGTGCTTGGCTCATTGTCGCCTCTTTCGGCGGATTGACGCTGGTGGGAAACGGATATTTGACGGGATCGATGATGTGGACATGACTGTCCCACGACCCTTCTGGAGGGGCAGGTTTCGATGAGGAGTTGAAGGCTCGACATTGAGATGGTTTAGTGACATTGGGGGCAGCCCAACGTTTTCCAGGCCTCGCCAAAAGCTGAATAATGGAAGAATGCCTTGAGCTTGCGACGTTGCGCACGCGGCCAATTGCTGCCAGCATCATGAGTGCGCCCTTTTGATGAAAGTGCTAGGGGCCTTCTACGTGCTCCAAAACAGTAGCAGATTACGCGATGCGGGAATTAAGTAGGATAGACAGAGGCAGGACGAGAAGCCACGGGAAGCGAGAATTAAGGTGCTTACTCAAAGCTGGAATCTCCGGGATTGTTGTCGGGCCGCATAAGTATACCCGAAGATCAAACCGAGGTGCCCTGCTACGACCAGATTCGCATGTATTCTAATTGTACATTCCCATTGGGCAGGATGAGACTTGGCAATGCAGCTGATTTTACAGCCATGGGGACTGAAAAAGGCCATGCTAAGGAAAAAACAAAGTCCTATGAACATCCGGTGAACATGTCAAGTAAAAATATCTATAATCAATTTTCTTTCACAATTTATCTCAATACTCTCATCACTTCGCGTCTTTCACCAGAAGCTCTAGACAGAAGGTCATAGATCGTCTTCACACAACACAACCGGCATTAAGCTGCTCCTTTGACCTTCATGATAGGGCCAGGGGTGCATGAAAAGGTGTGCAGATGGAACCGTTTCTACCTTACAATTGATCCGACGAAGCTCAGAGAGTTTGCAATGTTGTCTCTCCGCTTAGAGTCGGAGCTATTCATCTCTCTATGCTTTTCGCGGCGTATTTGAGTTCAACATAATAAGCCGATGAGTGTGTGGGTATCACGGATATCGACAAGTATTCTCTGAAGGGGCCATTCTACCTTTATAGTTTTAATACATAGAGAAACTATGGATTAATCAGCTGGCGTTGTGCTCACCTGTCGGCAGCTCTTGGGGCCTAAGATGATGGTTGTAACCCACTGTTGGTCTCCACGCCTCATAGACTCGATGCGACGCAGGACTTTGGGCAGTATATGAAGAAGTACCGTCGTCAGAAGTCCTTTCTCTAGCTTGCCTTTGTCGGCTCAAGAAGAAGAATAGCCAAATGCCAAAAGCCCCGAGGGCTAAGATGCCGATTGATGCGCCCACGGCTGCACCAATCGTCACGGACCGGTCGCTCGCCGGTGCTGGTTGGCTATCTGAGTTGGGCGTCGGGCTCTCAGTGGCACTATTCGTGATCAATTGGCTCTGCCGGGATAGTCGAGACGGGTCAAATGTGGCAGCGGAGGTTACTACCGATGATGGTATCGATGTGCTGGTTTCTGGAGTTGTTGTTATTCTTGTTATTTGTGTTATTGAGGATTCTGACGAGCTCGTTGGGTGGACACCGATGGTTGTGATTGCAATCGCAGGTTCTACAGGATGCGTCTGCTGGATCGATCGAATTAACCTCGACATGAACTAACAGAAATCAAACTTACGTTGGAAGAACAGGACATTCTGCTTCGCGGTACAATTGACCTGGTCTTGGACCGCGTTGATGCAATAATACAACTCTTGCTCGGTATTCTGGCACTTCGCAACGCCTATTCCTCCTCCCACGTTGTCCGTCTCTGGGTTGATAGAGAACAGCGGGCAGCTTGAACTTCTCCAGGGTTTATCTGTACAGGATCCCCTCACAAGTTCGGTGGCACTATCCTTCTGCAGCTCTGAGCCTGTTGCCTGGCACATGCCGTTAGAGAGGCACGCGTAGCCCTGTCCGCAGCATATTGACTCAGCTGTATCGTCTCGACATGGCGTATCGTTTGGGGCAGTGCTTCCGTTGGGGTAATAGCAGGCGGCCTTGACGAAGACAGATAAGCCAGAAAGCATTAGGATGAAAAATAACCAGGTGATGGACATCATCTTGAAGAATTACAAAATCAGGGAAACAGGCCGAGAATGAGATTAGAGGAGGACCAAATATCACGAACTGCGGAAGCTGGGAAGAGGAAACGTGGAGGGAGACGATGATACGAAAGCCATTGTCCTCACAAAGACGTCGTCACTAGTTTATGAGTATCTTTTCCCTTGCGTCGGGTTTTGGTGCAAATGGCCCTCTTTGATGTGCCTGTAGTTGCACACATCTCCTGCGTGATTGATTGCTCAGACCACCTGCCGCCGCATCTTGGATGAACTACCCGAGTCGCAAACATTTTCTTGCCAGAAAAGCTCTCCATACTATCCTCTTTCCCAAAGACTGCAGTGGATTCTAACAAAAATAAGTGTCGTTGGTGCTACGGAGTGGTCGCAGCAGATGTGATTGCAACAGTGATAGGGGCGGCCAAGGCAACATCCATGTCAACACGATGGGGCTAACCCAGGCGAAAACCAATTGAAGTCAGCGGTCCGTCCCGAGAATATGGTACGGCCACTAGAATAAGTCTAGCGGACATCTTAACCGTTGACCTGCGTAGACGAAATGAAGTCGGCGGTTGGAGGGTGCGCGCGTTTGCGATCGACCGGGTGGAAGAGGCGATCCCTTGATTCATTCTTCTTTCTTACCCTGCATGGGGCTTGCTGCATCCTCGACTGACACCTCCAAATCCTTCAGGTGTTTGCTAAGTTCGTCTCACGTAAACAGGCCCAAAGAGAGTTTGTGACAAGTACACGGATCTCCCAATTCTCGGCACAGCGGCACTAGCTTCAGTCGTTGGTGCCGAATCTAGCTGGCCCCTAAGCAAGCACCAACAGGCCTTGGCTGAAAAAGACAATGTATCCAACACCAACTCAGCCGTTGGTTCCGCGGGCAAAGACCAGGAACGATCTTAAGAGACTAGGGTCCGAGCCTCGTCTCATGCCACTGCCTCCGCGTCAAGCCAGTGACGATCCCCCGCCAAGGCTACTCCCGCAGGGGTCATGTCCAAAGATGCAAACCAACCTTCATGAGGCAAGGGTGCCTCAGCTCGAGCCGGCGTCTTTCCCCCCAACTTCGCCGTCACCCCGAACCTTAAGCGCCGATGGAACCCCCAACCTTCACATCCCCCCAACTCTCTGCTCCAAAAATACGACACATCACCAGCCGGAAGGGTTCATAAGGACAGAAGTCCGGCCAGGCCGCACGCCTCGAACGTCTTGAACTAATACGCTCTTTTACTTGCGCTTCACTCTCCCAGACAGGATGCTCCTCGCAAGGCGGCGGTTGCCAGGCATCGTCCTCTTCGGCCTGCCGGTCTCCATTATCCTCCTCCTTCTCTGGCACACAGACACCGGCATCCCCAACCTCAGATCCTCAGTTCGGCTCCCGACACCAGTAAAGTGGAAGACAGAGTCATCAGATTCCTACTTTTGGAAAACCGTCACGGTGCACAACCCGGCCCCGCAACCGCTCCGTCCCCTCCCGACATCACCATCCGTCCGCTTCCCCCAGGTCCAGGCGACTTTCCCCCACGAATCAAGCGACCACCGCCGCGTCCGCGAAGAGCGCCAACAAACCGTAAAAGCAGCCTTCTCCAAAGCCTGGGCTTCATACAAGGCGCACGCATGGCTCTCCGACGAACTCACCCCGGTGTCGGGCTCACGCCGCAACACCTTCGGCGGCTGGGCCGCCACTCTCGTCGACTCCCTCGACACGCTCTGGATCATGGGCATGGAGGACGAGTTCGCCAAGGCCGTCGCCGCGGCCGAAATCATCAACTTCACGACGACGGACCTGACAGAGGTCAACGTCTTTGAGACTACCATCCGCTACCTGGGCGGCTTCCTCTCCGCTTTTGACCTCAGCGGCGACGTGCGCCTCCTCCGCAAGGCCGTCGAGGTCGGCGAGATGCTCTACAAGGCCTTTGACACGCCAAACAGGATGCCCATCACGCGCTGGAAGATTAAAGAAGCCATCGACGGCAAGGAGCAAGCCAAGCCCACCGGCGAGCTCGTGGCGGAGATTGGATCACTGTCGATGGAGTTTACCCGCCTCTCCATCTTGACTGGTGACCCGAAGTGGTGGGACGCAACGCAGCGCATTATGGAAATCTTTGAGGCGCAGCAGAATAAGACCAAGATCCCGGGGCTGTTCCCGCTGGTCGTCGACCCGGAGAAGGAGATCTTCTACGAAGGCGACGACTTCACCCTCGGCGCGATGGCAGACTCCCTCTACGAGTACTTCCCCAAGATGTCCGCCCTCCTCGGCGGCCGCAGCGACATGTACCGCACGATGTGGGAAAATGCCGTCGGGCCCATGATGACCCACAACCTCTTCCGGCCCATGACGCCGGCTAGCGACGACATCCTCATCGCGGGCCAGGCGCACGCGCGCAGCTCCGGCGTGGAGCTGGAGCCCCAGGGCCAGCACCTCGTCTGCTTCCTCGGCGGCCTCTTCGCTCTCGGCAGCAAGCTCTACAGCCGCGCGTCCGAAATGGACGTCGCGCGGAAGCTCGTGGACGGGTGCATCTACGCTTACAAAGTCTTCCCGCACGGCATCATGCCCGAGACGTTCTACATGGTCCCCTGCCCGTCCAAGGAAAAGTGCGCGTGGGACGAGGCCCTGTGGAAGAAGCACGTCAAGCAGCGCAACGACAAGGGGGACGACGTCGAGCAGATCATCAAGGACGAGAGGCTTGTCAAGGGGTTCTCTGAGGTGCCGGACCGGCGGTACATCCTCCGCCCTGAGGCCATTGAGAGCGTGTTCGTGATGTACCGCACCACTGGCGACGCGGCGCTTCTCGAGTCCGCGTGGGACATGTTCACGTCCATTGACAACGCGACCAGCACGGATCTAGCCAACACTGCGGTGTGGGATGTGACGGCGGAGGGAAAGCCGCTGGCAAGCGATTCCATGGAGTCGTTCTGGATGGGCGAGACGTTGAAGTACTTCTATCTCATCTTCAGCGAGCCCGGACTGATTAGCCTTGATGAGTTTGTGTTCAACACCGAGGCACATCCATTCAGACGGTGGAAGTAGTGTTCTTCTCCCATGTAAACTAGAACCTGTGCAATAGATATTACCATGATACCCAACCTTTTCGTCTCAAAGATCCTCTCTCTTCTCATCCAGCTTCTCACCAGGCAAAAGACACTGCCACTCACTTCCATCCCACACGCCCTCCCTCGGAAACATACAAACCCTCCTAACCTTTTTCCCAAACACTCTCCTCCCGTCCTGCTCCTCGACCGTTCTCGCCTCGAGATCTTGCGGCGGAAGCCCCTCCTCAACCCACTTCCGCAACCTCTCCATCGCATCCCACGGATACGGCCCGCCGTAGAGCGGACTACAATGGTTCATCCCCGGAACCTCGAAATACCTCCAGTATTCCTCAATCTCCACCCCGCGGCTCTCCTCAAGCTTCCTCGCCCGTTCGTAAAACGCCCTCGCCGCCAGCACCATCACCGTCTGGTCCGCCATCCCATGCCACATCAGCATCTTCCCCCCGCGGTCCCTGAACCTCCTCAAATCGTGCGACGTCCCAATCGCGGACGTGAACTCCTCCACGCCCTGCCTAAACACGTCTCGAAACTCTTCCATCGTCATGTTCCCCACGTCAAACTCGGGATCCTTCTTGACGAAGTACTTAATCCAGTCTTCCGCAACCTCAAACGGCTCCCCTTGACACCCCCCATCGCCATCACACCTCACATTCATCAACCCAAGCAATCCCACCAGCGGCGCCCCAGGAACATACCCATAACCGCCCTCCATAACCCTCCCCTCCTCATCCTCCAACCCCCTCATCACCCTCCGCAGAACCTCCACCGTCCGCCCGTCAACCCGTCCCTTCTCATCACCACACTCAAACCCCCGTCCCTCCAACGCCTCGAAATCAACCTCGCACTCCCCCAACCTTCCAATAATCCCATCCACAACACCATCCGCGGCATCACACCCCTCAACCACCCCCCTCACGACCTCCCTCACCTCGCACTCGCCCGGCCACCAACCCATCTCCGCCATCACAACCTGCGGCCCCATCATCTCGCTCACAACAGCAGGAAAATCCACCGCGGGACACATACTCAACACACCATCCCACTCCCCCTCATCCCTCGCCGCCAGCACAACTCCCTGCCGTCCCCCCGTCGAACACCCAGCAAAATACCTCCATCCCTCTCTCTGCCCATAAAACTCCCTCACAATCTCACCCCCAACGTCTCCCATCTCGCCCACCCCACGATACGCAAACTCCACAAACCTATCCCAATCCAAATTCCCCCTCCCCTTCAGCGCCCACTCTCTGACCGGTGTCCCCTTCCAATGTCCCCCATCCGTCGCCGCAACAGCATACCCTTCCTGCACCCCAGCAGCCATAAAATCCCCATCAACATCCCCCGCCACGAAACCGCCCCCTCCAACGCCCAGCAACCTCCCGTTCCACGCCTGCCGTTCCAGAGGGAGCCAGACGTGCACACTCACCACAAAGTCATACCCCGGGTGCGCGTACGAGACTGTGACGTTGCAGAACGGCGCTACGCCGGACAGGGGAACGGAGACGGCGGCGTCGGGCATCCAGCCCGCGTGTCCGGTATAGTTCCGCACGACGGCGGCGGTGGTACGGACGTGGACTGCGCCGGGGAGAGGGGGGAATGTGAATTTGGTGGGGTGGCATTGTGAGATGCCAGCATCAGCTGCGGTCGAGGGGAGGGAGAGGGTGAGGAGGGATATGAGAAGGGCAGCGAATCTTCGAGATATGTCCATTGTTGCGGAAACACCAAAATTGAACAATCCAAGTCAGCGATAGAAAAGAATGGATTCGAGGAATTATCCAGACATGTTGACCTAATTCTTGGAATATCTAGTCCGCCAGCACAATCCTCACCGCCTTCCCACCCCCCGCGACATCTCACATCAGCGACGCATTCCTCACCAGCCCGCATATCCCATCACAGTCTGCATCATCCCAGCACCAAAAGCGCTTCCTGAAACATAGCGCTTACACCTCCAAAAACCCCCTTCCGTTGCCCTCCCCCGTCCCCGGCGCTCTCGGCCCAAACCCCAGACCAACACTTGAACCCCGAAAGGCCCCACAAACGGCGCGGCGGGCGGGGGGTGGAACCACGCCGATCGGCGTTCCCAGCAAGCCGGATAACACCCGTGGACCCCTCATCCGCCACCAGTTGCAGCCGGGGCGTCAGCTAATCTAGCGCCCTAACCCCGCGACAATCTCTAGGATCGCCAGACCAGACCTTCCCTGATTGGTTCCAGAACAAACCACTACCGCCGACGCCAACATCATCATGCATAAAGGCTGGCAGACCTCTGGCCATCTTCTTCAAGCCTAGCAGAACCCTTGGATCACAAGCAAATCAATCTCCCGATTAGTACTATGACGGCACGCAGTAGTCAACAGTCACAGAAGCATGTGTTAAATGGAACCATTTCAAAGCATATGCGTCGTTATTCCTGCCAATTGTACGCCCTACAGACAGATGTATGCCGCCCTCATGCGATGGCCTCGGAACCATCCATCAACCACCAAATAAAAAGAATCTTGAGCATCATCCTGGTCTCGCAAACTAGAGGAAAACCAAGCTCGGGTATCTAGCCCACCTGTCCATCCTTCCAGTTCCCAGCCCAGCCAGGCTCGCAGGCGGACATGAGATGCCCGACTCCAACCGCCAGAAGAGCGACATATTACTATCCACCACCTCAGCATCCCATAATGAGTGGGTATCTCATTGATCGTGAGCAAGCGTTACGGGGAATCAAGAAAAGGCCAAACAGATAGCTCTAGATGAAACTGTAAAACTGAGAAACATTCGCAACCGGCCCCGAAACAAGACAGAAAGCGGACAAAAGTCCAGATAACAAGATAGACCATAACAGAAATAAGCGACAGAAACGGGGTGAGCTAAGAGATGCGGGCGGCGACGCCCCAACGAAAACATACCAAAGCAACGCTATGTAACAACGCCAACGGAGAAAAAGATGCAAATTGCCCACCGACCGGTAAAACGGGATATCATGAGTGAAAAGCGACCGTATATCGTGCAGGGTGTTCGATGCTCCTTGCCGACATGTAGATATGAAAAAGTCATCAGTCGTAGCGTATGTAAACCATGCCGTGGAGAACGGTAAGAGATTCGTGATATATGATAGTTGGCCGGCCTAGTAGGCCGCGGCGGTTGTGCCTTCGCTGGTGGCGACGGCAACCAACGCCTCCAGACGCCTCAGGGGATCGGGGTTGCCAGTCCGATCGGCGCCCGGCTGCTGCTGCTGGGGTGGCTGCGGCTCGGCCTGCCTGGCAGGGAAGCCAGTGAAATGGTTCATGTTGGGGTGGATCATTCTGTTGACGTGCGGACCACGGGGCTCATGGATAGGTGCCTCGGGTCGAGGGCCATGAACGTGGCTGTTGGTGGGTCCATGGTACCAACCATGTCGCTTTGTCTCTCTGGATGCGATTGAAGGCATCGACATGGTGTGATGGTGGTTGCGAGTGAACGCGCTCGAGTTAGAGTATGACGGCGGTTCAACTTCAAACCGCACAGTCGGTGGGTTCAGCCGCACTTGCTCTGCCTGTGCCTGTACCGCCTGGTTCACCTCATTCGCCCACGCACCGGCGCTATCGCGAGGCGGCGTCGTGTTGGTGATGTCCAGTCTCGTGAGGCCTCGATGAAGCCCCATGTCCCACTGTGCGACGTTCCTTCGGCCATCGGCAGCCGCATCGGATCCCGGAAGAAGCGCCGGCGGGTGGGCGGCTTCATCAACCATCATCGGAGACGGAATGCGTCTCGGCGGCGAAATCTGTCGGGATGGCAGCGGGTCAAAGGACTCAATACCAGGCAGTCGCAGGGTCTGCTGTTGATTTGTCACATTGGCGATGGGCGGTGCCGGGTTTGGCTGGATCTGGCCGGGCGTCAAGACGTTGCTGAGGTGGCTGGTGTTCGTGTTGAAATTCCTGGTATCAGGGTGCCAGGTGCGACGGCGCCAGGCTTCATCGGCATTGGATGATGTCGAGTCCCGTCGGCCAGACCAGCCCGAAGTCGGTGTTGTGGGAGAGGCCAGATGGCTGCTTGCGGCCGGGGAGTAGGCACCGTTGTTGGAGGCGTTCACGGGGCCGCCGTACATAACCCGGTTGACCGGTCCTCCGTGAGGCGACTGGAAGGGGTTTGCACCCGAGGGAACGCTGAGACGACGTCCTGGAGTCCTAGAACCCGAAGAGTACATACTCTGGGAACGAGAGTGGGAGGTGGTAGGAGATGCAATACCAGACCATCGCGGACTGCTTTGCCCAGTCGTCGAAAACGTTGCGGAAGTTGGCGTGCCATACTCGGTCGGCGACACAGGGCGGTAGCCGTAAGGACCATCGCTTCGGTACGACTCAAGGGAAAGTCGAGACCGGGGATCGGTAGCCATGACCAGGGGAGGGGGCCGTCTGCGAAGATCGTCCCTCACACCACCAAAAGCAGGGCCGATGGAGCCGACGCTGGCGATGCTGGATGTCGACAGGGACTTGGAGTGTCCTCTTACCGGGCCAGATGCACTGCCGGCTGTTGACGAGCGGGCTCTGCCACCTTGCTGACGTACGCGCTCGGTGCGCATTTGCCTTTGGAATCGCGCGCCGGTGGCTGCCAGGGAGTCGATCGGGATGTCCTCGTTAACGTGCACCGTCTGTGCGTGTTGTCGCAGGTTGTCAAGCCGGGAGAACCGTCGCGAACAGTGGCACTGGAATGGTCTCTCGCCAGTGTGTTTCCTAAGTAGATCGATCAGCGACTAGTGCAACTAGAGGGTGGGGTTATTCTCGGTACCGAATGTGTCTCGCCAAATGCTCGCTTCTCGTGAAGCTCAGGTTGCAGGGTGGATAGTCGGTGCAGTAAAATCGCTGCGACTTCTTCTTCTTGCTGGACCTAGTACCGTCGGCATTGACGCTGTCATCGTCTGACCCTGCGCCATCCTCGCCAGCCTCGCCATCTGACTCGTCCATGTCGACGTCCTCGGAGTCTCTTGATTTCCTTGAATGCTGCGAGTTTGCTCTCGTGGGTGTCTTGACCTTTTCGGCACTCTCGGGGACCTGGACAGCCTGCGGAAATGGTGAGCTAGGCAGCGGCTTTTGTGATGCCAACCCGCCGCTGCCACTGCCAAAGGTGGCCTTCGTTGGCGTCTTCACCTCCTCTGGAATAGTCTGCGGCGTCTGGGGGTGCGGTGCGGTGCTGGGTCTCGGGGTAGTGGGCGACGTCGTCATTTTGTCGTCAGCCTTGGCTTCAGCGGGAAGCGGCGAATTTACTGGTCTGAATGCGGCAGCCATGATGTGTATTGAGGAGCCTGCGTGAGCAAGCAGTATGGGCGGCGATTCGGTGGGATATCGCAACCGTCAAATAAGTGTGCACGCAAGCTTGCGAGGCTAGGAGACTACTCGAATACGCAGCGTGCGGAGAGAAGAGCCTGCGGAGGCGTGGTTGAGGGTTATTTCAGCCGAAGTTGTGCGGGCGGAGAAGGCTGGAGGGCGGAGGTGAGGGGGAGAAGGAGGAAAAAAAAAAAAGAGAATGAAAAAGGTTATATCAAGTCATTCAGGTATCTCCGGAAGCGAGGGGTTCTTCTTCCAAACTGTGGGCGGTGCTGACGACAGCTTAGGTTCGAGGAGCGACACACAAAGATGTCGTGAACCGCAAAGGTGAAGAGGTAAAGGTGGACGAGTTGTGGTAGAAATGCGACGGCGAGTCGATAATGAATCCTGGGCCTGGGTGGGGTGGTTTGGTTTGCTGGACAAGGTGTAAGGCCGGTATGAGTACTCTTTACGGTACGCTCGGTAAAGGTAGCGTGGTTGAGTGGAGGACGAAGAGGAGAGAGACAAGTTGGTAGGGCGAGGGGCAGGCGGCTCTAGAAAAGGACTGCCAGGGGAGTGTGGCGATGAATGGTCGATGATGAAAGACGTGCCCTGATCTGACCCTGCTGGCTGCAGCAAAGTGGTTCCCAGCGGTTCTTCGCTGACTTTTCTTCCCCCTGCCTCTGGCTTTGCGCCTGCTTGCGTTCGTTCACGTCTAGCGGTACGTAGTGTCGAGAGCTGGGCGGAGTCTGTTCTGGGTAGGTTGGAGTAGCCAGCCAACCAGCCTCCTCTGAGGGGGGTGCGTATTGGGGGGATCCGGCGCACCAGGTCGGCGAATTTGGGTGGGAGCGTCTGTGGGCTATCGCAGAGCCAATGCAGTCCGTTCCAATGCCAACCAAGATCCGAGGTGACGGGTTCCCGGCCTTCTGGAGGAGCTCGATTTCAGGAGCAGGAGGAGGCGAAGATGCACAAAACGCTTTGCGTCTGTTCCGTTCCTGGTTCTGCGATTTCGAGAGTTGCCGGTTTTCAGTGCGTTTGTTGCGCTTGCTGACCGATGATCGGTTGAATGCCGAGCGCAAGGCGGCGGAGCGCTGAACGTAGAGTTGTGGGGAAGGTATTCAGGTAGGTATTCAGAACCGTTGTGGTTGTTGCTGGGCCGATGTATGATCTGCCGGTCAAGAGAGCTCAAAGAGGTCGGCTCCGATAGAAGACGGAAAGGTGGACGAATGTCGAGGACCTGGAGAGGGAAAGAAAGAGGAAAAGCGTCGGCTGCGAGGTGCGAGGGAGGATTGGTAAGTAGTTGACGATGGCCGTTAATGGCACTCAAAGCGAGCAGAAGGGCAGGCGGTACGAGACGGCCTTGGGTGGACACAAGGGCGGGCGGGCAGGCCAGGTCCAGGGCCACAGTCAGGGCCAGGCGCCAGGGTCAGGGTCA